GGGGGGGGAAACCCCAGGGGCCGAGCCACCTATGGGAGGGGCCCTGGCCGCCGGCGACGAGCAGCCCGGGTGCCGGTAAGGGGAGAAACCTGCGCCTGTTATAAAGCCTGGGGCAAAACGGCCGGCACCTGGCGCCCGCGCGGGAAGCCAGGAGGGCGCTCAGAACAAATCAATTAAAGCAAATCAGCCAATGGGTGCCGTGGCGCGCCAGGAGCCGGTACGCGAGGTGCCCGGGCGGGCAGGAAGAGGAGGAGGCCCGCCTGCGGGAGGGAGGGATCGCGAGCGGCGAGTCCAGCCAAGCTCCTAGCGGGGGGAAGCCTATTCCCGGTAACGAGCCCACGGCAACCCAGACCACAGGTGTGGCTACAATAACTTAAGAATTACCTCTTCCACCTAAAACCCAAGAGCTAGCTTGGTCCCCACCTTTCTCGGAAGGGCAGTTTTTCCAATACTGACTGCTTACAGAGGGGTTCCTGAATCACTCTTTAAAGCGGCTCCATTTCATTTGAATTATATGCAGCCAGTGGACGTGGGAGATGGTGGGAAATAGGAAAGACTGTAAGATAAAGCATGGAAGTAGCAGGGTCCACAAGCATTTACTGAGACAGTCCTGGCACTGTAACATCATGTCATTCTGCAACAGCCACATGAGGTGCTTGTCACCCCACAGCAGAAATAAGGAAAGCAAAGCTCAGAGCAGAGAGACTTAAGGTGTGTTAGGGGTGGGGGCAATAAAGTCAGGATCCAAACCCAGGTCCTCAGCTTCCAGCCCGAGCACCCCCAACTCCCCACTGAGGACATGGCAGTGCAGTGGGCACCCCTGAGCCAGAGTCAGCCCAGAGGAGTAGACTGCAGGCCACACTTCTCCCAGAATCGGCTCCTGAGGAAATGCTCCTGAATCAGATTTACCGACAAACTCCAGAGGTGATTCTTCGTGCTTGAGAAGCCCCTGGTGGGAGCTTTGGAACTAGACAGCTGCTGCATGAAGAGAGGGACAATCGAACGTTGCAGCCACTGGGAGCTTTTGTGACTGAGTTGATACGCTTCTAAAATCTAACCAGATTTTGATTAATAATTATTCAATGGTTATATAAATAATATAGGAAGAATTCACTGTGTAATTTAAGAAAAAATACATTAAAATATTCCAGTTTCCTAAGGAATATATTTGGACTCTTTCACTATGAGTCAAAGGTATTACATGGTTTTTAAACGTAAGAATTCCTTAGGCACCAGACTTACTAAGTGATTTACATAGATTCTCATCAGAGACAGCCCTGAAGATAGGTAGTGTTTTTATGCTCATTTGCCAAGGTTCCTTATCCTTGCTCAAGTTCCCACAGCCAGTAGTCTTTCTAACTCTGGAAATGGAGCTCTTTGTCTCTGCTGCCTCAACAGGCCTCCAAACATATCCTAAAGAAGTAGCCAGGAATAGGTTTGAGTCTTATTGGCTCAATTCTAGACCATGTCCAAAGAAAACTAGTGCACATGCTACCCCGTCCTGCCAATGATGTTGCAATCCATTTTTCCCATGCGGTTGAAAGGCGTCTGATCAGCCGTCTTCTCTGCTCAGTACAGGTTTTTGTTTTGTTTTGTTTTTCAGTTTTTGGCTATAGCTGCTTTTTACAGAGCCGGTTGTTTTTTGTAACTTGACCTCATCAACTACTTGACTCCTTCTCCCCCCAGACAGGCAGCCAGTTTGTCACCTGCCAAGCTGCTCTGTCTGTTGAACTTACTAGAATTCCAGACTTTTGTTTAGATGTGAATGTTCACAGCCGCTTCATTCATAATAATCAAAAACTGGAAACAAATGTCCCATCAGCTGGTGAATGGATCCAATAGTGGTACACCCATACAACAGAATGCTACTCAGCGATAAAAAGGACCGAATTTCTAAAACATGTAATGACATGGATGAAACTCACAAGCATTATGCTAACTGGAAGAAGCCAGACTCAAAAGGTATTGCATGGTTCCATTTATATGACATTCTAGGCAATGCAAATCCAATCTATAATCGTAGAAAGTAAATCAAAGGTTGCCTGAGGGCGGGGTGGGCAAGGAGGTGTGACTGGAAACAGGCACAAAGGAACTTTGGGGGATAAAGGCAGTGTTCCATATCTTGATTGTGGTGATGGTTACACATGGGTACATATCTTTCAAGACTCATCAAACTGTACACTTAAAATGGGGACAATTTTTATATGTAAATTATCTTAATAAAGTTGATTTTAAAATAAAGCTTTTTCCCTGGGAAGTAAAGAGCAGAAACACAAATCCATCTGGCTCAGGTGCCCATTTCATAGTTCTTAGTCAATGGGGGCCTCAAGTTGTTTCAAAGGCTACTTTCTCATTTACAGGGGAATGCAGTCTTCCCCCAAGGGGTCGGGGCCCTGCATCTCCAGCATCAGATCTCTGTGTAGGATCTCCGAGAGTTCAGAGTGCACCATTCCTCCTGAGTAAAGTTCACAGTCACATCTTTGAGGAACACCCCTTCTTAAAACAGGACACGTTTCTTTTCAGCCAGGGACTATTTCATTACAGTGTTCATGGAGGAAGGATGAATATAGTAGATGGAAAACAAAAATGAGATGGCCTGGGAGTTGTCTATAGAGTAGGCACCTCCTTAAGTAGGAGCCTTTGCACCTAGAGTCCTAAACCTAGAATGGGAGGCCAAAGACCCCGCACCTTCCCCCTCGAACTTGATGATCATCTGTTAGGAAGGGGGGTGTTCTGCACAGAGGCCATGGGGGCCCATCAGTCTTCTTCCTGCTCCCCCAGGCTACTCCTCAGGCTCTCCTCCTGGTGTGGTCAGGGTCCTGAGAGTTCTCAGGCTGGGTGTTCTCGGACTATAGCACAGCCATGCAAACCCGGGACCTCCTTTGTAGTTAGCTTTTTACCCTGTCCTTTCTGCCCACCTTGCTGTGCAGAAACCTGCACCTGGAATCCTCCTGTCACCCATGCCCTACTGAGATAAGCATAATCCACAATAGGACAATGTTAGAAATGGTCCATGGGTTGTGTGCTGGGATTCTTTTTAGTGTTCTTGTTGGCAAACATTACATGGGGCTCATTAGGGGCTGTGTGCGAGTATCTATAACAAGACCACAGTCCAGCAGTGTGTAGAGGCCCAGGCAGTACTGGCTGCAGTGCTGTTCTCTGATTCTCAACCTTCTTGGTATGGCAGCACCTACTATCAGCAGCTGCCACTAAATAAAAGCTACCTTGTACTGTTATAAATAATTTCAGAGATCTCTTCTATCTGTTCACTGGTGGAGAACAAAAGGTCAGGAAATACAGGATAAACTGTTAGTATACCAAAATGTTTGGATATACAGGCAAAATAGTTTATTGCTTTTTAAAGATTACCTTGAAGTTTTTGCTTTAAATTTAGAAGTGCTTCACCTAAATCATGTTTGGAGGTTGAAGGAAAATACGTTGAGCATATTATTTGAAAATGTAACTAACAAACTGTTTAAAAATAAATCTTTCATATATTTCCCATCTTTTCCTTGCACAGTGGAATATAAGCCCCTTAAGAGCAAGAAAATTGACCTATCTGTATTCCCAACACCTAGCACAGGGACTTACAGTAGAGGTGGACATAAATTATTATTATTATTATTATTTTATTTTATTTTTTTTGTGGTACGCAGGCCTCTTCCGGACGCACAGGCTCAGCGGCCATGGCTCACGGGCCCAGCCGCTCCGCGGTATGTGGGATCTTCCCGGACCGGGGCACGAACCCGCATCCCCTGCATCGGCAGGCGGACTCTCAACCACTGCGCCACCAGGGAAGCCCGGACATAAATTATTTGATGCTACTAAAAAGTTAGTAACATCCCCACTCCCTTCCAAAGGGAGTCATCAGCACTCTTGCAGACAACTATAAACATGGTTAGTTCTAAACAAAACAAAAACAGAATGGAAATCTTTTCTGCACAAGACTTAGTGTGGTTGCAAGCATCATACTCAATGGTGAAAAACTGAAAGCATTTCCACTAAGATCAGGAACAAGACAAGGATGTCCACTATCGCCACTCTTATTAAACACAGTTTTGGAGTCCTAGCCGCAGCAATCAGAGA